ATATACCAGCAGGGTCACCATGGGTTTCAGTGGTGCCTCTGTGCTAATATACACTAGTAAGGAGGACCTAGTGATCTACTTCTGAAAAAAATTGCCTAGTGAAAATGTTATCAACAGCAACAGAATGTTGTCTGATACAGCACTGGAAAATAGGCCCCTCAGGTTAGAATACACTCAGGATGCAACTGGGAAGAGCTCCCTCTGATAGTAGAGTCGCCCTTGAGATGTGGTTGGGGTAAAGCTTTCTGGACTTTTCATTTGCTGATGTGGCACTACTCAAAATGAGAAGAAACAGCTGCAAACTTTCATTAATAACTGAAACATGGAATGTACGAAGTATGAATCTAGGAAAATTGTGAAAAGTGAAATGGATCACATAAAGATCCATATCCTAGGCATTAGTGAGCTGCAATGGACTGGTATTGGCCATTTGAATCAGACAATCATATGGTCTACTGTGCTGGGAATGACAGATTGAAGAGGAATGGTGATTAATGCACCAACCACTAATGCCAAAGATAAAGAAATTGAAGATTGTGACCAACTTCTGCAGTCTGAAATTGACAAAGCATACTATCAAAATGCACTGATAATTACTAGTGGTTGGATTGCAGAAGTTGGAAACAAAGAAGGATCGGTAGCTGGAATATAATGGCCTTGGTGATAGAAACGAAGCCAGAGATTGCATGATAGAATTTTGCGAAACCAAAGACTTACTCATTGCAAATACTTGTTTTTCAAAAACGTAAACGGCAACTATACACGTGAAACTTGCAGGATGGACAGGAATCTACACAGGAATCAAATCAACTACATCTTTGGAAAGAGGTGGTGGAGAAGCTCAATATTATCAGTCAGAACAAGGGGCCAACTGCAGAACAGACCATCAGTTACACACATGCAAGTTGAAGTTGAAGCTGAAGAAAATTTAAACAAGTCCATGAGAGCCAGGGGAGCTCTGGTAGCATAGTGGCTAAGGCACTTGACTACTAACCAGATGGCTGGCAGTTCAAACCCACTAGCCACTCCTCGGAAGGAAGGTTGGGCAATCCTACTTCTGTAGTGATACTGCCTCGGAAACCCAAGGAGGGGTCTCTATGAGTCAGGTCTGACTCGACGGCACATAACAACAACAACAACAAAATGAGAGCCAGAGTACAACCTGCCAGAATTTAGAGACCATTGTAAAGATTTGAAGCACTGAACACTAATGACCAAAGACCAGACAAATTGTAGGATGATAGCAAGGACATACTACAGAAAGAAAGTAAAAGATCATTGAAAAGACAAGAAGGAGGAAAATACCAAAATGAACGTCAGAAGAGACTTTGACACTTGATCTTGAATGTAGTGTAGCTACAGTGATGAAAAAAGAGTTGAACAGATTTGCTCAAGAAGACAGAGTTTTATAACAAAATATGCAGAGACCTGGAGTTAGAAAACTAAAAGGAAAGAACATGCTACATGCTTATCAAGCTGAAAAAAACTGAAGAAAAAATTAAAGCCTGTAGTTGTAATATTAAAGGATTCTGTAGGCAAAATTTTGAATGACACAGGAAACATCAAAAGAAGATGTAAAGGATTCACAGAGTCACTGTACCAAAAAGAATTGGTCAACATTCAACCATTTCAGGAGATACCATGTAATTAAGAACTGGTGGTATTGAAGGAAGAAGTCCATACTACACGGAAGGAATTGGCGAAAATCCAGGCTCCAGGAATTGACAGAATACACATTGAGATGCTTCAACAAATGATACAGTGCTGGGGGTGCTTGCTCATCTCTGCTAAGAAATTTGGAAGACAGCTACGTTCCCATGGACTGGAAGAGATCCATATTTGTGTCCATTTGAAAGAAAGGTGATTTGATAGAATGGAGAAATTACTGAACAGTGTCAATATTACACGTAGGAAAAGTTTTACTGAACATGATTCAAAAATGGTTGCAGGAGTACATTAACAGAGAACTACCAGAAATTCAAGCTGGATACAGAAGAGGATGCTTAAAGAGAGATATCATTGCTGATGTCAGGTGGACCTTGGCTGAAAGTAAAGAATGTCAGAAAGTTTTATTGACTGTGCAAAGGCATTCAACTGTATGGATCATGACAAATTATGGATTACATTAATTGCCGAGAATGGGTATTCAGAATACTTAATTGTGCTCATGAGGCAGCTGTACATAGACAAAGAAGCAGTCATTTGAACAGAACAAGGAGATACCTGTGGTTTAAAATCAGGAGAGATATGTGTCAGCGTTATATCCTGTCACCATACTGAGTCAGTCTGTATGCTGAGCAGATAATCTGAGAAACTGGACTGTATGAAGAAGAATGGGATGTCAGGATTGGAAGAAGACTCATTAACAACCTGAGATACGCAGATGACAGAACCTTGGCTGAAAGAAAAGAGGACTTGAAGCACTTACTGATGAAGATCAAAGATTACAGTATGGATTACACCTCAGATGATGTTGTTAGGTGCCATTGAGTCTTTTCTGACTCATAGTGCACCTGTGTGCAAGAGAATGAAACATTGGCAGGTCATGCACCATCCTCACACATCCTTGCTGTACCTGAGCCCATCATTGTGGCCACTGTATCAATCTGTCTTGCTAAGAGTCTTCCTCTTTTTTGCTGACCCTCTACTTTACCAAGCATATACTTCTCCTAAGATTGGTGCCTTGTGGCAACATGACCAAAGTATGGGAGGCAAAATCTCACTATCTGTACAGCGTCTGGCTGTGCTTCATTCAAGACGTAAGGAAAAGAATAAATCCTCACAATTGAGCTAAAAAGCAACATCATGATAAATGGAGATAAGATTGAAGTTCTCAAGTATTTCATTTTACTTGGATTCACAGTCAACACCCGTGGAAGCAGCAGTATAGAAATCAATGTATTGCATTGGACAAGTCTGCCAAAGACCTTTTTAAAGTGTTAAAAAGCAAAGATGTCATGTTGAAGACTAAGGTGTATTTTCATTCATCTCATATTCATGGAAAAACTGGACAATGAATAAGAAAGACTGAAGAACTGATACTTTTGAATCATGTTGTTAGTGAAAAATTATTAAACGTATCATGGACTGCCAGAAGAGTGAAAAAAATCTGTCTTGGAGAAGTACAGCCAGTATGCTACTTAGAAGTGAGGATGATGAGATTTTGTCTAATGAACTTTGGACATGTTATATCTGTAGAGACTAGTCTTTGAAGAAGGACATCATGCTTGGTAGAACAGAGGGTCAGTGAAAAAGAGGGAGACTCTCAGTGAGATAGATAGGTTGACAGAGTGGCTGCAATAATGGGCTCCAACATAGCAATAACTGTGAGAATGGAACAGGACTGGGCAGTGTTTAATTCTTTTGTACATAGAGTTGCTGTGAATCAGAACTGACTGGATGTACCTAACAACAACAATTACCTAAAAATTCTTATTGTAGTTGATAATGTTTCACCAATCAAGGATAAAATTGAGGTTTGTATATTGTATACGGAGTTTATTGTAGTAAGTACAATACACTGATGGCATAGTGGTAAAATGCTTGGTTGCTAACCACAAAGTCGGTGGTTGTAGTGCTTCAGCTGCTACGTGGGAGAAAGATGTGCCAATCTGCTTCTGTAAAGACCCTATGGCACAGTTCTTCTCTATCCTATGTGATCACTATGAATCACTCCAACAGCAAGGGGTTTTTTGGTTTGAAATATATAGTTAACAAAACATTTGCCATTTCTACAATCTTACAGTATCTACTCTCTTTTATTTTAGAATTTAAACCAAAAAACCCAACTCACTGCCGTCTAGTTGGACCTGACTCATAGCGACCCCTCCTTGGGTTTTCAAGGCGGTATCACTATGGAAGTAGATTGCCCAACCTTTCTTCTGAGGAGTCGCTGGTGGGTTTGAAACACCAGCCTTCTGGTTAGCAGTCAAGTGCCTTAGGCACTGTGCTACCAGAGCTCCTTTATGAAAGTAAATTGCCAGGTATTTTCTCCTGCAGAAAATAGGAAGTTTTTTTTTTTTTTTTTTTTATAAAAAAAGAGGAGTTCTTAAAACAATTTACTTGTGTTATCAAGGCCATACTAGGAGTTGTAGAAAATAGCCCAGTTGTAATATGTCCATTTCTTTTGGCTTTTCCTTACCTTAAGCTCAAAGATATTATCAATTTCTGATACTTTTTCAGGTTATTGCTTATTAATCTAGATACATTAATATTATTAACTGTGAGAAAACACAGTAAAATTTTGAAAGGGAATTGTATCTGTTTTCATCTAAAAATTGTTTTTAATGCTTTTGGAGTAGTGTTCTTGTATATGGGTGTGTGTGTTTATGCCTTACCCACTTTTTCCTAGATGGAAAAAAAAAGTTTTATTGTATTGAATAAATATGCATATAAATGTCTTTCAGGTGTGTGTGATTTGCCCTCTGTAGGAAGCTTAGTTAGCAGTTAGCATGGTTCAAAAAAACATAGCATTTAAGATCCCCCACAGTTTGACTCTCTGCTGCCTCTCCAACCTCCTTTTCTTACCCTTCTTTGTTTACTTAATCCTTCTGCCAACGTGAACTAAATGTTTCCCTTACTCTCCCTTACTCACCCTTGCTTGTTCATCTTCACATTTTTGGTTATTGTGGTCCTTCTGCATCAAAATGCTCTTCTGCCTGTGGAAATAGTCTCTCCCTTCTTACTATGTATAGGTCTTTATTGGTATCTCTGATATGGCAGTGTCTTGAAAAATGAGATAGAAACTATGTCTGTGTCACATTTGTGTATTCCTAATCCATGTGCACACACAGAGAGAGGAGAAACGGAGACTTTGTGACTTCGTGACTTCGGCTGCAGCGGAAGCTGTGGCAAGGCAGGTCTCCTTTTCCACTGAGGGCTCTTCCTTGGCAGTCATGTGAGAGGTACTGGAGAAACCCACTGTGATCTGCTAATCTCCAGGAGTGCAGTGTTGTTTTACTGACTATAGTATTTTCTTTCTGCCTTGTCTTCTAGACTGATCAGAAGAAATGGATTTTAGAGAGGCTTATTCCAATACATGTTCTGCAGTGGGACTGGCTGCCAGGGAAGGAAATGTCAAAGTCTTAAGGAAACTGCTCAAAAAGGGACGTAGTGTTAATGTTGCTGATAACAGAGGATGGATGCCAATTCACGAAGCAGCTTATCACAATTCTGTAGAATGTTTGCAGATGTTAATTCATGCAGGTAAAGTAAATTTGAGGTATGGGAGGCTGGGCCTGCAAACTGGATTTGGATTAGTAGCACATTTTTTAAAAAATGGTAACATGAATAATATTTTGTTCATTTTCTGTAATCATAAAATAACTGTCTGTGCTTGTTTATGAAGGATAGTAAGTTTGCCAGCCTTGGATTACATCAGTATGGTGTTGCAACTAGACATTTATAAGTGGTGTCCTTCATATGGAAGTGCTTCTGCCTGGTCTGTTTTTGTTGCCTGAGCTAGGTGATGTGGCAAAAGTAATCTGCTGTTCTAATTTAAATATTTGTTAGTCACTGGTCATATTTATTCTTTCTTCCTTTCCCAAACAAAAGGAGTGGTGTAACTGAAATTGAAGGTATGTTTTGTTTGAATTAGTTTTTTTTTTTTAAATGCTTTTCAGTTTGGTTAATTTTGAGAATCTTTTAAATTACGTGGACTTTGAATTTGTAATACATATCCTTTCTGTATCCTTCAGAAGCTAATAAAATAATTTGAAAAAAATACTTACTATCTTGGGCCCTAGATTCAGAGACAGTGAAGTATATATATAGCATGGGCTGTGGGGTCAGATGAGATGTGGGTTCAATTCTTAGTTCTTCTTCTTACTGGTGAGTAACTGTAAAAATGGCATGGGGATGTCTGACCTTTTTGAACTTCATGAGGGAGAGGAGAGAGTGTCAAGATCAGTAGCCCAAGGCTGATTACTGTGAGGTGGAGGTCAGACATGCCTCCTCTCTCTAGCCTTTTTACTGAATCTGACAACAGCCCTCCCGATCATGGCAGTCTCTACTCAGTTGGGTTTGATAATTCATTGCAATGGACCATACTCACAGATACGGGGTTTGTTAGGGAGTAACATATTACAATTTAGGATCATGGACAACTCAGTTCTTTGATCAGAACCGCATCTTCTTAGCTATGCCCAAAGACAGGCCTCTCTCTGGCCCTTGGCCCTCAACTCAACCTCTACCCTACTTTGGCAAGTGTTACATAGTTCTTTAGCTCTGCCAACAAATGCGTGGAGGCACCCCATTTTGCCAGAAGTCTCCTGCCTAAAGGCACTAAGCTTTCTTGCTCTGCGGGTTGGCACACTCATTGTAACTGACTTGCTTTGTGGAACAGGAAGTCCAACGGGCTGTCTTGTGCCAGTCTTCTGTTTCTGCTGCTGCTGTTTCTTTGCTACTGCTTCTTGCCATTTTGTGCCATCTCTGGTGTTACAACTCTCTTTTGTCTATCTTCTGGGTCTGGGAGGTTCTCAGTGCAGGAAAGTTGTGTCCAAAGGCTGCACTCTCTGCTCCTGTCTCTTTTCTTGTTGGTAGTGAGGTCCCCAGTTTCCACTCATTTTTAAGCCTAGCTGAATGGTAAAACTCACCAATCCCTTCATTAGGGTTCCATACAACTTATTTGCATGGTCATACCCCTACAGTGACATGTACCTTATTTGTGTTATTAACAAGCTGTCCTGTCCAATCACCTTGGTGGTCGACAAGCACCTTATTTGCTTAGTCTCACCCACTCTTTTGGTGGGAGTTAGAAGACCATGGTGAGAAATGCCATGTAAAAGTGATACATCATACCATAATAACATTTGTTAAGTTGTTTTCCCCTGAAAATTGTGTCAATAATACAAATTTCATAAGGTAGTTGTAAGGCTAAAAGAGCTTACGTGAATCTTTTGTGGATGATTTACATTCAAGAGTATTGACCAGTGAGGAATGATGGCAGATTATTGTGAACAGGGTCTGGCTGGCATAAAGGTACATAAAAGGGGACATTTAAAAATGACGATAAAGTAAAAAATGCTTTCTGGTTTTGAAGAGTAAAGTGAGGTCGCTCTTATTTTTTTTTGAAAAAATTATGATTTGAATGAAAGTTTATAGAGCAAATTCATTTTCCATGCAACATTTCATACACAATTTTGTTCCATAACATTGATTACAATCCCTATAACGTAAAATCTCTCTTCTTACTTCCTGTCTGTGGTTACCTTTTCCCTGTGTCCTTCTCTCCTATGCATTCCTGCCCTCTGAGCTATCTCCCTGTGTAAATACTGCCCTTCTGATCTCCCGTGATTGATTGTTCTAAGGAGTGTACCTACCTCATGTAAATGTTCACGTTATACACCTGTATTGCTTGACTGGAAGCCACGGGAGTGAGTTCATTTCCAGGTCCAGAGGGTGACTAGGGCCCGTAGTCTTGGGGGGTTTAACACTCTCTATCATACCAGTAAGCCTGATCTTTATTATGATTTTGAGTTTTGTTCCATGTTTTTCTCCCACTTTATGCAGGATCTCCTACACTGATCCCTTTCCAAGTGGCTGACAGTAGTAGCTAGGCACCATTTAGTTCTTCTGGTCAGGGTCATGAAGACTGAGATTCACATGATCCTCTAGTCCCTTGGACTAATTGTTTCCATACATCTTTGTTTTTCTTCATTTTCCTTTGTTCTGGATGAAAAGAAACCAATTGTTGCATTTTAGATGGCCGCTTGTGAACTTTTAAGATGCTACTCACCAAGTACAATGTAGAACAATGTTTTTGTGTAGGTATATTATGCCAATTGAGCTTGATGTCTTCAGTGGCCATAGTACTGAGTCCATGGGCTTAACAGCTTGCTCCATCAGGGTGGTTGGCTGTGGCTAAGAAGTTTTCATAACTTTGCCCCCTGTTAGTTTTATTATACATGTGGACATTCTTAAAGCACATCCAAATACGTATGTAGAAATATTGTCTGCCAAACTTATATATGGTCATGGGTATATTCCCTTTTGCCTAGATATACTTGATCATTCAGCCTGTCTACCTATATATCTACCCATAGATTAATGTTTCTTATTACTGATAATGCAGGATTGTGTATCTAAACATGTTTATCTTTGTTGTCTGTACCTCTTGTGCACTTCCACTGTGTCTTCCTTTTCCTTAGTGTTATTGTGTTGGTCACTCACTTTTTTTTTTTTTTATTGTGATTTGGGTGAAAATTTACAGAGCAAATACACTTTCCATACAGCAGTTCACATACACTTTGTCTCATGATATTGACCACAATTTAGCACAATGCAACATTTCCTCTCCCACTTCCTCCCAATAGTTACCTCTTCCCTGTGTCCATCTCTCCATGCACTCCTACCCCCTGAACTGTCTTCCTGTGCCTGAGCAGCCCTTCTTTCTCTTATGCTTATTCTCTCCAAGAAGTGTATCTACCTCAGGTAAATGCTCAACTGATATGCCTGTCTGTTGTTTGGCTGGAAGCCACAGGTGTGTGTTCAATTCCAGACCTGAAGGGCAGCTAGGGGCCATAGTCTCAGTGGTTCCACCAGGCTCCCTCGGGCCAGCAAGCCTGTTCCCTGCTTTGGTTACTCACTTTTGGTATATTGCTTTCATGTCACCCAAATCAATACTTGCCTCTTACCTATCTAGCTAGCAGTGTTCCTTGCCTCACCTCCCATCCCTGGTAATCAACAAAGAACATTTCCTTCCATATGTAAACCTTAGCTTGACTTTCTACAATAATGAACTAATAAAATATTTGTCCTTCTGTGATTGACTTATTTCACTCAACATAATGTCTTCTAAGTTCATCCATGTTATGAGTTGTTTCACAGTTCTACATTATCCTTCAGTGTTGCATAGTGTTCCATTGTGTATATGTACCACAACTTGGTTATTCATTCTTCTCTTGATGGGCACTTAGATTGTTTCCATCTCTTTGCTGTAGTGCTGCAGTGAACATGAGTGCACATGTATCTATTCATGTCCGGCTCTCACTTCTTTAAGGATATGTACCTAGTAATGGGACTGCTGAATCACATGGTATTTATATTTCCAACTTTTTAAGGAATCGCCGTATTGTTCTTCACAGTAGTTGTATCATTTTACAGTACTACCGGCAGTGTAGGGGAGTCCCAGTCTCTCCCCATCCTCACTAGCATTTGCTATTTTCTGTCTTGTTGAACTGTGGTGTTAGTGCTGGAGTAAGATGGTGTCTCGTTGTTTTGATTTGCATCTCTCTAATAGCTAATGATCGCAAATCTTTCCTGATGTGCTTGTTGGCTGCTTGAATATCTTATTTGGTGAAGTGTTTGTTCATGTCTTCTACCTATTTTTTAATTGGATTGTTTGTGTTTTTGATGTTGAGGTGTTGGAGTTTTCTATAAATTTTAAAGATAAGCTCCTTGTCAGATAGGTCATTGACAAATTTTTTTTTCCTATCTGTAGGTTCTCTTTTCACTCTTTTTGAGAATTTTTTCATGTACATAAGAATTTAATTTTTAGAAAGTCTTAGTCATATAGTTTATCTCCTACTGTTTGTGCATTTTGGGTCATGCTTGATAGTCTATGCCATAAATTAGGGGCTTAAATTTGCCCTTATTTTTCCTTTGATGAACTTTACTGTTTTAGGTTTTATAGTTAAGTAGTTGTTAGTTTTGTGTATAGTGTGAGGTATGGATCTTGTTTCATTTTTCTGCAAATGGGTATCCAATTTTGCCAGCATCATTTATTAAGAGACTATCGCTTCCCCATTTAATGGATTTGGGCCCTTTGTCAAAGTTCAGCTGACCATATGTGGATGGATCTATTTCTGAGTTCTCATTTCTGTTCCACTGGTCTATGTGTCTGCCATTATATTACTACCAGACTGTTTTGACTTCTATGGCTGTATAGAAGGTTTTGAAGTCAGGATGTGTGAGACCTCCTACTTTGTTGTTCTTCTTCAGTAGTGCTTTGCTTATTCAAGGTTTCTTTCCTTTCCAGATAAAATTAGTAATTGATCTTTCCATGTTCTTAAAGAATGTTGATGGAATCTGGATTGGGATTGCAGTGGATGCATAGATTGCTTTGGGTAGTATTGACATTTTCACAGTGTTTAATTTTCCTATCCATGGGCATAGTATGTTCTTCCATTCATGTAGATCTTTTCCAGTTCTTGAAGTAGTGTTTTGTAGTTTTTTTTTGGTATATGTCTTTTGTGTCCTTGGTAAGA